TAAATATTATAATTTTTTATCTAAAAACTTTAAATATTTTTTTTATTATCCACTAATATTTGTTACATTGATGTTGATGGTTCAATGAATAAATAAGAACGAATATTACTTACTTATATTATTTTGACATAGATGTCAAAATAATTAGCACACTTTATATTTTTTAAGAATTAAATATAAAAGTAATTACATTTATAACAATTAATATTATAGCATAAATATTCCGATTAGGAACACCAATTAATATTTAATTTCTTACACATAAATACTCACTTATCAAGTCTTGATCATTTTACAAAGTTATAAATGAAAATGATAATTTTTGTTACATGTAAATTTTTACAAAGCTATACATGGAAAACAATAATTTTAAAATGGAAAATACTAATTTTAAAATGGAACGTACTTTTTATTTGATTTAAAATTTTTTATATATACGGAATAAAATTAATGCTCTATTAAATAAGCGTGCCCATAAAAATACATTTCCTTTTATATATTTGTTTCTTATTTTAAAATAATTAGAAAATCTCTCCAATTCGTATTAATTCAAAGCAAAAAAATCAAATGTAATTTCGTTTAGTCCTACCAATCTATCCGTTCTTAAAGTAAATTTATTTGTTTTGATTATAGTTTTTGAATAGGTGTTTTTTTTAAATTTCAAAATATACTATTTAATTTAAATATTTTCCAATTATGAATGAAAATATAAAAGTTTTTAAACGCAATTATATGGAGAAATTTGTGTGTAACAAATATGAAATTTAATTTCCGCATAATAAGTTTTTTTGTTAACTATTTTTTAAACATTACTTACTAACATGACATGCTGATATGTTAAAAAGGTTGTCTAATAAGCACGCCACATGTCACAATTCTAGAAAGCCAACCCGTTTGAAATATTGAGGAAGTCGATTTTGATGACGTGGCTGATAAAGTGTCAAAAAAAGTTCCAGTCAGCACGCCAAATGTCGCAATTCTGAGAGTTCAACTCTCAAATATTATATATAAAGGATAAAGGATTGTAAAGAGTATTACTAAAAAAGCTAAGTGAAAATTTACTAAAATATTCTTAATGAAAATGGA